CTCCCGTTAAAATGGTGTTAACCACTGTTGCTGTAATTCTATGCTAGAAGTATTAAGTGCAAGTAAAGAGCTCTGTTGGCAGAAGAGAGAGTGGTTGTGGAGTGTATTACAGGTATAGAAATAACATGCATACGCCCAATTATCCCATGTGCCATCCAATACGAACATCCTTTTTGGTTCAATGGACGATTACTGACAAAATGACGAGCTTACTGGACAAAATGAATCACTAATATTTACGAAATTTACTTTTTGAATGGTCTACCTTACTACACCACATTTGCCATCAGTGTGGAAAACATTGTAGCTACCACCTCAACAGAATACATTACAACAATGTTAACATTTTTCTAAAGCCATTTTGCATGGGAGTAGAGATGGCTAGAACCCCTGACACTTTTCCTTTCTGTCCTGTAGATACAGCAGGAAGTGAGAGGAAAACTCTCCAAAATGAGGAATATGCCCTCTTAGACAGATCTTGTGGGAACCAGTAAAGAAGATTTCCCTTCTATTCCTGTTCTATTGACAACTCAAAAGATTTGGACAGTTGTGACCAGAACAAAAAAGATAGTTAATAAAAACCTAAGAGAAGTTCTATCCCATTCCCACTAAATTTAAATCCAAAACGTAAAAAAATATTGGAGTTTACATAAACTGTAAATAAACAGGTAGTCTAGCTTTTTATGCTTTTTTGTTAATTAAAATGACATTAAAGTAAAGAAACCCCCCCCCCCCAATGCTGCTTTAAGGACTTACCTTAAATTATGCCATCTTCTTCTTTCCAGTTTTCAGGAGTCCCTCCAGCACTGGTGGCGGTCTCTGATCCAGCGCTGACTCCTGTCTCTTCCTGTCCCACGAAGTCTGTGCTGGTGCACGCTGCTGCATTGACTTACCCTGTGTCTCTCCTTTTCTCCCAGCTGAAGATTTGAACTGCGCGTGTGCCCACCCCATGATCCTTTGCAGCCGCCCGAGAATCTTCAGATGTTTGGACAGTTAATGATCCTTTAAGAGTTTCAGCATCCTTTTGATGTTTTCTGTAGTGTTGTTTGGCCACCTTCATTACACAGTGTCTCTTCAGAGAAATGCAAGTCTAATATCCTGTGTTTGAAACTATATCTTCTAATAACCTCTGGTATGACCTATGTGGATATATTAGGATAAGGAAATGCTTTGAAAAACAATGTAAATCTCCTGGCATAGATAATGAATTTCAGGGAAGGCACAAAGACATGACATGAGTGACATGAACAGAAAACAGGAATAACATAAAAGTCAAAAATAAAATCATGTACACTAAGATTATAGAAAGTACTAAACATCATCTTCACAGGACAGCCTGGGAAATGCTGGACATGGGGATTCAAAGCTAGGTGGTTATCAGTCCTAGTGAGTATCACTGTAATATAGGCAACTTTATGTAAGTGTTATTAGCTAGTCTTAGTAAGGCAACCAAGTGGTTGTGTTTTACTGCTACACCTATCTATAGAGATAAGTAAATAATATAAATCTTACTCTGCTGGGATTTGGCAGTGTAGACCCAGTGATTTGCTTTGCCAAGATAATACACTGAGTGGCCAGATTATTATGACCACCCCATCAGTACTTCGTTGGGCCACCTTTTGCCTTCAATACTGCGGCGATTCTTCTTGGCATTGACTCCACGAGATGTTGAAAGGTGATGCGAGGAATCTGACACCATGCTTGATGAATAGCACTGTCCAGTTCTGTGAGATTTGATGGTTGTGGAACCAGCTGCCTTATGGCTCTTTCAACTTCGTCCCACAAATGCTCAATTAGATTGAGATCTGGTGATTGTGGGGGCCACCTAAGCAAGGTAAAGTCTCCCACATGTTCTTGAAACCACTCCTGCACAATACGAGCACCGTGGCATGGCGCATTGTCTTGTTGGAAGAAGCCATCTCCATTGGGATACGCCATCAACATGATAGGATGAACTTGATCAGCAACGATACTTTGGTATGTTGTGCTATTCAGACGTTGTTCCACACGAATTAAAGGGCCCAAATCATGCCAGGAAAACATGCCCCAAACCATAACACTGCCCCCACCAGCTTGAAGGGTTGTACTCATGCATGTGGGGTGCATGCTTTCATGCTGTTCCCGCCAAATTCTCACTCTGCCATCTGCATGATGCAACTGGAAACATGATTCATCGGACCACATTACTTTTTTCCAATGCTCGACTGTCCAATCCTTGTGTTCCTGTGCGAATTGGAGACGTTTTATCTTGTTAACTGCAGACAGCAAAGGTGTTCGAACAGGCCTTCGGCTTCCATATCCCATACGATGCAGTGTACGGCGAACAGTGCGTTCAGAGATCATTTGAGAGGATCCCTGATTAAGATCTGCAGTAATTTGATGCACTGTTGCCCTTCTGTTGTCTTGTACCAGTCTTGCCACTCTCCGTTCTGCCCTAACATTGACTAGTCGCTGACGGCCACAATTCGCACGTTCAGACCCAGATTTTTGGCTGACAGTCCAGTCTTTAAACTCTTTAACAACAGCAGCCCTTGAACATTTAATGAATTCTGTTGTTTTGCTGATACTTGCTCCATGGCTCCGAGCGCCAACAATCATCCCACCTTCAAAGGCTGTTAAATCGTGTTGCTCACCCATATCTTCAGAAATCACTTCCACTGTCGTGGTAAACAACCTGCTTCCCTATTTATGATGGTCTGGCCCTCTAGCAACTTCAGCGCAAAATTATAGCTAATTTGCCTACAAACGTCAGGTGGTCATAATAATCTGGCCACTCAGTGTATATGACTATTAGTGAATTGGAAAGTTGTTCTTTGCACCACTTTTTATCAGCTTATCAGGCTGGTCACCACATTCAGCATTTTACAGAGTTCATTGTTTCTCTTGCAAAGCAAACAGTCATAGTGAATTGGTCAGTTTCCCTGTGAGTTTCAGTCCACATAATGGATTAATTTATCTATACTTACCTTATTGCAAGTATATGGACACAGACAGCAAAGGCAGAGAATCTGGTGTTTCCCTCTACCCATTTACACAAAGATATAACAAAAGGTGTACATTTCTAGGGGCTTGACTCCCCAGTTATTTGTCTATTCTATATTAGAAAGAGTCTATTGGAGAAGATAAACACATCATCATCATCTGTTGGGGCCGACGGCTGCAACTGCTGGACAGAATTGAAAAACCTGGTGAAAATGTTTTGCCACTGCAAAGCCAGAGAGAGATGAAATCCAGCATGTAATATCCCTTGACAGTAGGCACGAGGTTTAGGTTCATCGCTACCATGAGTTCACGGTGAATCCTGCAAGTTCAACATTTGTGATCCCAATAAATGTTTGTGGCGCTTCACCCAGGAGAAAAACTATAATGCACAGCATGGTATTTGAACTTTGGCCAGCAGACTTAGAAGGGCCAATAAAGGGGATTTTGGATCAGCCAGCCCTCTCACTAAAAGAGGGGACACAGAGCAGTCATAGACAATGATTTATAAATCATTCATCCTGACATATGCTAGACAAATGCCTTTTGAATGGCATTCTCACCACTAGATGGAGCTGAGGAGCATATGAGATTCTAGCTTTTTGGACAATCAACTCCGTTTGCTGCCTTTTTGTGTTATTTTTAGTTATTATTTTAGTTATTATTATTATTAGGGACTTTTTTTGTCTTCCATTTTATTTTATGGTTGATTTGAGGTTTCTGGTCCCTTTTAACTGGTCTGTTCTTAGAAAACTTTTTTTTTTTTTTGCAGCAAGTGCCCCCTTTAAAAAGAAAGTTGCCTTTTGTTTCAGAGATGGTATTTTCATTTCTGTTTTTTTTATGTTTGTAGGGCCTTTTTTAAGTTTTGGGGGGTTAAAATGAATCATTCACTTGTCCATCTGTTTTTGAAGCTGCCTTTTGTCCACAGCACACCACTGAATCATTTGAAAGGTTAAAAAAAAAAAACTAAGTGCAAAAACAGTGTGCACCTAAACCACCTCACATTATATCATTCACATTCAACCCATTTATCCCCATAGATAAAATAAAAGTTAGGCATACACCAGTTAGGCCTTTTATTCCTAATTACACTGTCCTTCTGCTACCCTAGTTTACACTGCTGTAGTCTCTGTAGTATCTTAAAGTGACATTAAAGGCTAAAGTCTCCCACTTCACAAACTGCATATTAAACACTATCCTTGTCCTTCCCTTAGACATTCAACACTGGACCTATATAGTCTGGAGGTTCCGAATGTAAGTTTATCACTTCTTATTGTGTAGGAATGTGTTTGTGTGTGTTAGGACCCAGAATCCATACCAGCAGTAAGATGGCCCTCCAGGACAGAGTTCTCTAGTTCTTCTCACGTGGTATCCTATGTATATGCGTTACCCTGTCTGCATTATTTTGTGCATTAATCTCTCAGCTGCCAGTACCAAGCACATCTACATTTACTCCTCAGCACCCAGTCCCCAGCACATGGGTAATAACCCTCCCCATTATGTGCCCAACCTAAGGTCCTTTCACTCTGACATCACTTGCTATATAACGTATTCATGAAGACAAAATCAGAGGGACAGAATAACAGCCAGAAACTAGGATGGCATCCTACATATTTATTGTAATAAATGTTCTTTATGTGCATAACATCCACTATGAATATACAAAACAAATCTGTCAACATGTTAACAAAGCTATATTTATTATTTGATATGGTTCTTTACAAGCTTTATTTACATGGGACTTAAACAATGTGCAAAGCATGCCATGTGGTCCATTTCTAGCAGTTTTATAGCAGATTTGACATGTTTATGACATGATTATTTTATGTTTAAAAACAGGGAGACATGAGTACAGTGCAGTAACCTATAGCAACCAATCACAATTTACATATCGCTCATCTGCTGTAAACATGAATGTAATTGGTTACAATAGGTATAGACAAGCCATAATTTCCATTGTTTTAATGAATATTCTGATGTGATTTATTTTGAACACATTTCAATGAAAACCCCGTTGTGGTTGACTATAAATAACTGCATTGTTTATGGTTTGATTCCAAGTAAAAGATGTGAATTCTAATAATGTGGACTGTGGGAGTGATTATGTGACAGTGGCAAACAGGAAAATCTGAAGAAGAGGCATAACTTTCAGGGTCGAGATGTCGGCAAGTACAGCCTAAAGAAAAAGAGAATAAAAACAACTATGGTAAACAACAGAGAAGAATAGACATTGGTTCTTACGGAAAAGAAGCCTTTAGGCCCCTTTCACATGGGCAACATTAGTTCTGATCAGCAGGGGATCTGTTCTGATTGGAGCAGTACAGAACAGATGTCACTTTTGTGACATCCAGGTCCGTTCAATTTTTCCTCCCTCTTGTGACCCATGTTTCCTCCCTCTTGTGACCCATGGACAGCTGGATGCAAGCAGACGTGTCCCTTTACATCCAATTACCTCAGATCCATCATGTAAACAGACACATGCGTACTTACATCCAGCTGCCCATTGAGTAAAGGTGCCCATACACCTGCCGATTATCTGAGGTTGTTAGTAGTGTCCCCCAAGGTTCAGTGTTGGGCCCCTTACTGTTTAACCTATTTATAAATGACAGAATTGGGGATTAAAAGTACTATTTCTGTGTTTCCAGATGACACCAAGTTATGTAGTGGAATACAGTCCTTACAGATGTCTCCAACTTACAAGCAGATCTGAATGCACTGTGTGATTGGGCATCTATTTGGCAAATGAGGTTTAATGTTGATAAAATTGTTGATGTAAAGTTATGCAAGGGTATTGTGGAACTGGAGAAAGTGCAGCGAAGGGCAACTAAACTCATAAGAGGCATGGAGGAGCTCAGCTATGAGGAAAGATTAACTGACCTGAATTTGTGAATTTGAGGCGATTAAGGGGGGACATGATCACCATGCATAAATACATAAATGATCCATATTGTGAGATTGGTGCCAAATTATTCACGTTAAGTCACTGCAAAGGACAAGGGGGCAGTCTTTGCATCTGGAGGAAAAGAGGTTTCACCCTTCCATACAGAAAGGATTCTTCACAGTTAGAGCTGTGAAAATGTGGAATAGACTCCCCCAGGAGCTAGTTCTAGCTAGCTCGGTTAATTGTTTAAAAAAACATCTGGATCTATTCTTGAATGCACAGAGAATTACTGGATATTGAGTTATCAGAGGTATATTAAGCATCAGAGATTGTTGATCCAGGGAATATCCGATTGCCTTATGAGATCAGGAAGGAATTTTTTCCCCTGTTGGAGCAAATTGAACCATGCTTGCCTTCCTCAGGATCAACAGGGGGTAGCTGTGGGCATAGCGGGTTTGTTTAGGCTTTTCTTTTTTTTCATATCTCTATGGGTTGAACTTGATGGACTTGTGTCTTTTTTCAACCTGACTAACTATGTAATTAAGGAACCGCATCCATTGTAACTGATTTGAAATAGTTTAAAATCCTTTTGAATTTAATATAAACTTGTACTAATACATAGAGGTTGGAAGTGTTACAACCCCATTATATTTGTATTGCTGTCTGTGTACCTGCTGGAGAGATTCGCCTTGTTTGTCCCGGTGACCATCATTACAGTAAAGAAAAAAAAAGTGATGGGTAATCCAAACTTTTACAGTTGCCACCAAAACAGGAATAGAGGAGAAAACTTCCACGAGTGATACCTGATTAAGGCTTGCCATACACGGCTCAAATGTTGGCCGATTCAGCAGGAATTTGACCAGGGAATATCCGATTGCCTTATGGGATCAGGAAGGAATTTTTTCCCCCTGTTGGAGCCAATTAAACCGTGCTTTATAGGTTTTTTTTTGCCTTCCTCTGGATCAACAGGGGGTAATTAGGGGCATATGTCTATAGGTTGAACTAGATGGACATGTGTCTTTTTTCAACCTGACGAACTATGTAAGTATGTAACTAAGTGGATGGCCATGTCGGCACCAACTTCAATTACAAAATCAAAGAAGCTGGGTGCAAAATTGTCAGACAAATAGTCACTGTTTAGGTGTTGTGATGCTGTCAGAATACAATAGTTGACAGTCATATCCTCTGACTTTCTTATAGGACAGCAAATGAAAAACTTGACAGGTTTTTACCCTTCACTTCTGTGTCTAAAACAAACAAAAAAAACATTTGGCTTTAGATATACTGAATATATTTTACTTGCCCCCAAACATTGAGTAGCACTCTGACTCCGTTTTGTGGTGCAGCACTCTACAGTATGACACTAACCTGTCTGGTCATAGTTACTATAACTCATGATGGTTACACGTCAGTACATAATATCATTAGTAAACTCTCACTAATACAGCATCATTGCACCAAACTAGATAACTCTTTGATACAGCACTTTGGGAACATCCAACTTCCTTTGCAATTACCTTTTCAGGCTTTCCCTGGAGGGTGTCAATTATGGTTTTCGGCACAACTGTCAGGTCAGCAGTCTTTCCCACGATTGTGATTCCTACTGAGCCAGACTGAAAGACCAATTAAAGGCTCAGGAACCCTTTGCAGGTGTTATGGCTTAATTAGCTGATTAGAGTGGGACACTTTGAGCCTAGAATATTGCACCTTTTCACAATATTCTAATTTTCTGAGATTGTGGATTTGGGGTTTTCATGAGCTGTAAGCCATAATCATCACAATTATGACAAATCACGGCTTGAATTATCTTGCTTTGCATGTAATGAGTCTATCTCATATATTAGTTTCATCTTTTAAGTTGCATTAGTGAAATAAATGAACTTTTGCACGATATTCTAATTATTCGAGTTTCACCTGTATCATCATCGTGACCGGTCTAATATTGTCATTGTGATGTGTGTGTGTAAAAATAAAAGATTGTCAGCCTTGGTCAGTGTCCGCCCATTGTGTTCCATGTGGCTGACACACTTGACTGCTCGTCCCATGATTCTCTGATATTCCTGTGACTCCACAACACACAGGTATTTCAAAGCTGGCGATTTCACCCTCAGAAGGAAGTCTTATGCTGGCCTTTAGACGTGCATCAGATACAGATGGTATCATGAGTGTTTAACAGGTTTAAAATTTCAACCATGGGCTAAAAATACAAGCACATTATGAATCCTTTGCCTACGTCGTAAGCAATGTTCATCCAAGAGCTCACTCTCCAGTCTAGCAATGTGACTCATCAATGCATGTCTTATTAGACGATCAGGGTGGTCTTTAAGGAAACACTTGTTGTTTAAGATTCCTAAAAATATAGAAGTCAAATCAATTTACAAAGTAATCTGCCTGAATGAAAGGTCCACTGACCTAGCGTCATAGAAATGTGTTATCATTAGCACTCAGCACAGGAGAGATGGAAGATTCTCAGGAAATAGGTATATACCAGTGTCTGTCTATCTATATAAATATAAAGCTGATTACCTTTATTTTAGCACTGAACCACAGCTGTCAGTGTAGATGTACTGTTACTCGAACAATAGTTTGTCAATAGCATTAACACAAGCCGTTTTTGTTCTCCTGAGTCTCCCCATAACATAGTTTTATTACCTGTTCATCCTGCCAGTCAGGGTTGTCCCTATAATGAGGCAGCCTGAGGTGGTTGCCTCAGGTAGCATCTCATTGAATCACGTGGGCGGCTGGCCTTTTTGGCCAGAGCGTCCCAGGTTGCTAAGGGCCAGTTCACACCATATGGAGTTGTGATGCAGTCCGTTTATTTGACTGCTGCAGTCAAAATACATCACAATGCTTTCCTATGGGCTTTCTTGTGCTTTATTCACACCATTGCAGTGTGAATAAAGCACAAGAAAGACCATAGGAAAGCATTCTGATGTATTTTGACTGCAGCAGTCAAATAAACGGACTGCATCACAACTGCATATGGTGTGAACTGGCGCGGAAAGCTCTTTGTTACACTATTATGGGAAGTGTAAAAATAATGGTCCTACTGGCAGGATCAGCAGATAAGAAAACTGTTATGGCGGGCCCAGAAAAACAAAAATTGTTATGTTAATACCATTGACAGACCGTGTGTTATTCTTTGCCCATAGATACACTTCATACAACGCATCCAATGGGCTTCTATTGCAGAGACCACTCCAATAAAAGCAAGATGGAGGAACTGAGGGTGAGTTACATCTGCGTTGATAGCAGTGGTTTCATAGCTTTCTCTCTCACAAAAAGGATCATGGAGGTGAGTGCAATTCATTATTTATTTCTCCTAAATAGAGTTTTCCTTTTTAAACATGAACGGTCATATTGTCTGTGATAGTAAAGTCACCCAAAGCTTTCTCATGCTAGTTTTAATGAGCACGGCACAAACTGTACAGTTTGGGTAATTCTATATGTAAAACATCTTGGTCCGGACATATTCTTGGTGAGCTCCATGTACTTGACCTCATTAGTGTGGGCAGTGTTAATGAAATGGCATGAAAGTTAAAGAGCGGAGGAAAGTCTCCTGGTGCTATGCATTCTACAGCACTTGTCAACAGGTGTAAACGATTGCATTTTGTTAGAATTTCACTTCGGTTTGTAACCAGACTAAAAATCGAGTCGCGGAGGCATGCATTACTTGGGAGGAACACAGGGGACTCAAATGACTGCACTTGGCAATGTGTCAGGAACTATTTCCATCTCTAAAGAGTGTAACTTATACTTACTTCAGCAGCAGCCAGTGATGTCACCTCCATCAGGTTCATTGCTCGGAAAGCAAACACAGCAGCTGCCAGCACTGCAAGAGAATGTGGAACATTTCAACTGCTGACCTACTAATTATCATTAGAAATAATTCATCATTTCTGACCGAGCTGTGACATACATGTATCCATACAATACTACCCATGGCCGCAGCCAGCAGCATGAACATCCTGTGCATCTAAACAAATACAGCATAGTGATGGTCCATCACAGTTGTAGAATTACTGGTCTCACATGTCATAGGCTGACTGAGGTCTCTGTGAGGAGGGAGGAAGTTGTAGTTCAATAGTCAAATTATGTGCAATACCAAGAGAAGGAATAAATGACATACTTACCATAGTTGATGCTCACAACAGATCCACTGGCAGTGAAAATCCTACTTCATCCTCTCAGCTGCTGCCATTTAGTCAAATTACTAACTCAAGGAGAATGCTGGAGTGACAATCCCGACCCCTCATTCCATTACGGAAGACAACCAGAGCATGAGGTTGTCTCTTCTACCTACTTCTTCACTTTGTTAGAAACTAGCACTATTAGCAATAACTTGGTGTGCTACTGTAACCCACCCTGTGCTAAATCTTCAGGTTTTGGTGGAATTCTTTAATGAAGAACAGAATTAAAATGTATCTAAAACCAAAACTGTAATATATTGTAGCTTACCATACTTGCAGCCTACGCATTGTCCTAAAGTGACAATGCTCACCCACTGTACTTTTGCAGTTTTGTCACCATAGGACTGATAGTGTGTCCAGACTTCGGAGTACCTCCCTTTCTCCTCATCTCTATACCAATACAACAAAACACTTTAAATGGTTTATTCAGCGGATCATTAGGGAGCAAATAAGAGATCTTCATTGTTAAGGTTTATATAACTTTTAAGTTCACTATATGACCTAAGATTTTTTTTTACTATACAATGAAAAAAGTAGCATAAATGTAAAAAAAAAACAACAAAGTTTCCCTACGTTATGTTATAAAACATTTATTATTACCCATATTTTAAGTAAAATATAAAAGACGGGTCACGTCGGGTAAATAGACACCAAACATGTCAAGCCTTAAAATTGCGTCCGCAAAATCGCAAAAAAACGCCCATAGGCGACGATTAAAACGCTTTTACTGTTCATTAGTTAAGTGTTATCAGTGATTAATGGCTCTAAAATTATTGCTCTCACTCAGACGTTTGCGGCGATATGTAACATGTGCGGCACAATAGGCGCAATCGTCGTTTTCGCACGTAGGCACACCCGACACATATCTGCGTGTGTATGTGGGGGGCGGGGACTTTTTAAAAAAAAGGTTTTCTTTTTTAATTTTTTTAATGCTTCTTTATTTTTTATATTTTTTTTTTTACACACAACTTTATTGCTATTACATGGGGGGCTAAGAAGCCCCCTATGTGATAGCCAATTTACATGACAGGTCCTCTTTATGGAGACATCAGGGGTCTCCAAGACCCCTAATGTCAATTAGGGACCCCCAGAGAAGCTGATGAAGCAGAGATCTGCTTCATCAGCTTCTGTAGCTGGAGAGTGACACTGAATGCAGGAAGTGATGTAATACACATCACTTCCTGCATTCGGGGACTGAGAGGAGATCAAAGGGAGTTTGTATACTACTGAACTCCCTTTGATCTCCTGTCACAGAGCCGTACCGGTCACAGCGGATCTCGGGACCGGCAACAGCAGTGACAGCTGCTAATACAAGCGATCGAGCGTCTGTAGAGACGCCCGATCGCTTGAATGTAAAGCTCCCGGCCGGCCGTATTTCATGTTCTATGGGTAAGGACGTTCTTCCAGAGCACTCCCTGGCTTACATCTGCTTTTAGCCTGACTTTGTTGCTCTGCTATACAAAAGGAAGACCTGAACAGAATAGGACATCTAATCACCAGTCCCATATTGCTGTATCTGAGGCCATTTGATGACTTCTCCATTTACTGTTCCTGGGCATATAGTGTATGTTGGAAATGCAACAGCATATGACTGATATGTACTGATTGTATTCTGAAATTCCAATGTACTGATATACTGTTACGTCTTTTTAGCTGTAGATGGCACTGTAGTGCTATGTTAGTCTCTCTATATGTTATTTGCTAGTGCTTGCCCAAATACTCGGTATCGGCACATATACTAGTATCGGTGCATTGCTAGTTATTATTTGGTACTACACGCTACACTCCATTGTTGCCTATACCGAGTATTTGGGCGAGTACTCATACTCGACCAAATGCTCCAATACTTACCACTAAACCCGGACGTTCCGGCAGTGCCGTGGGAGCTTGGAGCCGCCTTCCTTTCCAATCAGCACGTCGGGCGGTGGGTTATGACCTTGGCTAGGAAACTGGCTTCACTTGTTGCTAGGCGGCCTGGCTTCCTAACCAATCAGGAAGCTGGGCGGCACATAATGATCCGCCTCCCGGCTTCCTGATTGGTCTAGGAACAAGTGAAGCCGGCTTCCTACCAATCAAGAAGCCGGGAGGCGGGTCATGACGTTCCACCCGGCTTCCTGATTGGCTAGGAAGCCAACTTCACTTGTTCCTTATTGGTCAGGAAGCCAGGCAGCCTCTGAAGCCGGTGTTCTTTCACTAGAACGCCGGCTTCGCTTGTTCCTTATTGGTCAGGAAGCCAGGCAGCCTCTGAAGCCGGTGTTCTTTCACTAGAACGCCGGCTTCACAAGACTATCAGGAAGCTGGGGCGACGGGTCATAATACACCGCCCGACTTCCTGATAATCGGGGAACAATGCACCGGTACTCAGTAATGGCGAGTACCGGAAAAAAAAATGTTGGTACTCGATGCCAAAAAAACGGTATCGGTGCATTCCTGATAATATTAGTAGCAAATTTTGCTAACAGCAAAGTGTGAAGGCAAATTTTCGCTACTGGAAGCAACTGCAAGTGTAGGAATCATTAGTGATCACTATAGCAAAAATCCAGCCACCGATTAACCACCTACAGATGATATACAATGTTACATTGACACATATTAAAAACTGGTAACTCAGTTGTATTCTGTGCCCTAGGTAAAGATGAATAAAATAGCTCACTTTATATAGTATAGTCATAAATATCACAAAACAGACTATTGTTTGGATCAGTGGAATGTAAAGCATATCAGTGAACAGCTGGGAATCCAGCAATGGAGGAAATGGAAGGGAGAAAGTGACTTCTAAAAACATGCAAGGTTTGTAGTACACTACGAGAAAGTAGCCTGCTGATAAAATGCCATCCAGCAGATACCAGCTACCATCTGGAGTGATCATTCATACATGTCCTCCAGCTGACACCACACGCATGACTCACACTGCCAACTAGCAAACTTATACGTGAATGAGATATGTAAGGACCAAACATTAATAAAGCAGACTGATACTGCACTATTTTTAATGAAATGGCGCCTCACATATGTTAAAAAAATTAGAATCCCACTTTTAGTATAAAGGGAGCCTGTCAAGATGGCTGTCACAGATGAGATTCCCATTCCTGCACTGGTTGCTGCTATTGCCTGACTCCCTAATGGGGCTAGTACTGAGAATAAGTAGACCTTTGCAGCACCCCTTAGAGCCCATGTATACAATATGCATTGGACAGCATTGCCCAACGCAGTCCCAATGCAAAGACGAGGCAATTTGCCTTATGTCCTATTGTTGCAGTTCACACCAAGACAAGAAAAAAAGGACAGGTTACATTTTCACACAGCACAGCACTACACCTCATCACAATGCACTGCAGTGCAAAGAAATGAATGATAAATGATTTTGTGATGTTTTAAGAGTTAAAGAAGAAGAGGTAAACAGTGCAATGAGTTGAACCAATGCATTGCACTGCCCATGCACAATGAACACCAGCGTACGCGTGTTATTCAAAGCATAATGTACATCTGCTGGTATGAACAGGCCCTTACACTGACATGTATGTTTGAGAACTAGCAGTACTAGTGCTAGGATGTGACAGCTTCTGGTACTTGGCGGAATCCTAAAAGCCGCACTATGGGAAAATGATCATTTACATACCACACTAGTGTCAGTAAGTCATAAAGTGAGGGGAGATCAACATTTGTGGTTTTGTGCGTTAATAAATTAAAAGCTTTGTTTTAATATTGTAATTATATTTCTACATGAGACAGTCAAATGTGCTTATTCCACATGCAGCCTCTGCTTCCTGCTTGGTAGAAGATCAAAACAGCTTGAATTATTTTGGTGCAATTTCCTTATAGTTACAGAATTTTGGAATTGCGGCACATAGCTGAATGAGATCCAAATTGGGACTTGGTGATGGCCTCAAATCCACTGTCAGTATATTCTGCAGTGTTTTACAGTCTTGTCAAAGTACACATCTAAACCCTGCCCTAAGCCCTTAAAGTAGCATTAAGATCTGGGCGTTTTTTACCTTAATGCATTTTCTGCATTAGGGTATAAACGGCCCAGCACCTTTTTTCTACCCCAGTCCCCTCCACACTTACCTGTCAGCTGCGCTCATCCCCGCAGCCGGTCCCGAAGCAATCCTCTGCTCCCCGAACTTCCGGGTTGCGGGGGGAGGATACTGATGGCAGAGAAGCCATAGGCTCCTCCTGCCATCAAAGAGGGAAGGTGCTTGGCCTGCCACAGGGCTGTGTGTGTCTATGGACGCACACAGCCACTGTGGAAACGAGCGGGCACGAGCGCGCATGGGTGCCTCCATTAGAACGATGGTGGCACCCGTGCAGGGGGCGGGGGTAAGATCGCTGCGGGGATCCACTAGTAAACAAGGAATGAAAAAGTAAAAAAAAAAAAAGCAACAGACTCCAGCAGAGGAGGGTCTCCTTGAAGGAGAAATGTAAAAAAAAATTAGGCTTTAATATCACGTAAAGAGTTATACAAATAGGGACGTTCTAACTGGCTATTAAAGACCACCATAAATTCATACATCAGTAAAGGGTGGACACTGGTAGGATACTCCACCACAGTTCTCTGCTAGGCCGTCCCAAAAACAGAGTATTACTGTTGTGCTGTGTTCTTTATAACAGGTAAACCTTCCATAAGGATAAGGCTCCTGCATATTGGATTGCTAGATGGATAGAGCTAAGAACTCAGGTGAAGGCATTTTGCTGTCTAGGCACCTGAAACTATAAAACAAAACTGTAGGGCAGCAAGGGACTTTTGCTAAGCCGGCACAGATGCCCATTGTAAGATTTTGATTTTATCAGTGGGGTTGTGAGTGAGTTTGAAAGCCTGACTATATACAGTTAGAACAGTTCAGCAGATTCACAGCAATCGGAAGTTCTAACAGTGTATCGCCAGCCTTCGTGGTAGAAGTGGCTTTTTGTTTAACCCATAACACTGGATTGTGTAGATGGCAGTCTACAGAGGAAACATGTTTGCAAACCCACTCACAGCCATTAAAGCAAAAACAAGACTCAGGCACCCAAAGGCAGCAGTACTGACTGCTGAGCCACCATGCTTCCCATCACGCGCTTTAACATCTGCCTTCATACATTACACAGACTACAATTACATTTCTTGTTCTCTAATTCTTCATTTATTTAAACAAAGCACAAAAGATTTGCTGAACTTGGAGTCAAACTCTCTCGTTTACATAATATTTATGTTAGCAACAGAGCAATGTGTGGCTTGCTATGGATTTAGTTAACAAGCATTAATAATACAAATAGTAAACCATGTAAACAAGAGATAATCCTACCAGCAAGAATTTCCAATGAATTATAGCCAAGGATTCTGTCCCACAAAAGCAGCAGCTGATCGGTAGCCAAATAGCCAGAAAATGCTCGAACCATCCACTTGAATGAGATGCGTAAACTGAAACAACACACAAATAAAAATAGAGGCCCCATAAGTGCCCTCAAGAAACACAAAGTAAAAGCTTTACATCTGTATCCTTTACCGTTTTACCGTCAGTTGGTACAGAATTATACATTTAGGAGGTTTTAGCGGCTTAAGGAAGAGTTCAACCTGCTAAAAAGCATTTCTTACTTGGCCATGCTAATTTCTCCCAGTTCCAAAATGTACTTACCATTCCTGTGGAATTTTCCAGTTTAAAGGGCTCATCTTCACAATCTGCAGTATTTATAAGTCTGAAAACATCTAATGTAACTTATGCTAAACATGAATTTAATGATATTGAACCCTTACGGTACTTGTCATCCCAAAAATAAAGTACCCATGGATGATCTTATCACATACCTGAGACACACCTTCTTTACCCTAACAACACTCTAATATGCATTCCTCCTAGACTAGTGTAGTATACGTTACTTTCTCAGTGATTTAAATATAAAAGGAATACAGGCACCTCCGAGTTTATTATACATTTTCACACTAGAATACAGTGATTGCCATAAGTGATAATACACTGCCGGAAGACACCCCCTCCCAAAAAAAGAAAACAGAAAAAACATACGGTTGTGCGCCGATCTCTCGGAGATGATAGAAAAGCTGTGGGAGATGCGTCTGAAGAAGGGTCTCAAACAGAAGACACAGTGACATTATTCCCTACAAAACATAAATGAATAAGGTTATCTCTGCATTGTGTAATGTAGCCTAGAAAAACACAAACGCTCAACTCGCAGGGAACATTCTACAACCTGCCTGATAATGCTGTAAGTTAACTACATGAGAAAACACTTCTTCATACTTATCAAGCCATAATTACACAAACCTTATTCCCCTGGCAACAAAAAGGAAATATGAAGCCCATAACAGACCATATTAACAGTGCTATATAGAGAAAAATAAACCTGATTATGCTGATAATTTTTTATCTAAGATTATTCTGCAATAAGGACCCATTCACATTGATGCTTTGCAGTACCCTGTTGGAAAAAAAGCATTTTACTGCACAACATGATTGCCATTAATAAAGAATGGCACCTCAACACACTTGCACAGTAGTTGCCAACACATCTAGAGTAAAGCGCAACATAAGTGCATATGCTGCCCTAACAAAATAAAACATGTTACAATACATAGTGGGAAAGGGCCCTAGATGTTTGTTTTTTTGTTTGACAAATAGTTTTATTAGTTTGGAATCAGAAAATTCTAATATATTAAAGGCTTTTAAAATATAATCATGGCATTCTCAACTACTTAAATTGAATTTGCTTATTAAAGGGTCAACCCATCCAAAATTGATATTGTGCAAATTATTCACCAGCTTCCGCTGTGAGGAACATCAGTGGTCAGTCTTGTTTTTCCTGCTGAATTATCCATAATATAAAATGAATTCATTAATAAGAGTTAGAGCACCACAGGATCACTGAGACGCATATGAGGCTGGTGGGTTATACCAGGATCCAATTCGTTTTTAATGGAAGTATCATTATTTCCTAAGGATAGACTTTTATTACTGCTGGCTATGATTCATTCAATTGATATGGTGATTCATAATACACCTATTGAAAGTTGGCTGAAAGTGGGCACAGCTTGTTCCTTGTCAATATCCTTCCAAACTGGAGAGGGGTATAAAAAGTCTGGCTTTGTATATTCAGGGCCGACTTCAGTGACAGCCAGCCTAGTGCTGTTCCGATGCTGTACTGCTGCTTGAATTTAGCTCCAGTGCCAATGACACCACAGCCCCAGAAGCCTCATTGTTCACCTATACCTGAAGTCAGCCATATTTCCATATTTAAACATCTAGGACTTTATAGCCCTTTTACTAGGCAGAGGCTGGCATGAATAAGGATTGGGCTTCAAATAAGCCATAATTTATGCTGTACAGTTTGTTCTAAACAAGAATCCTAGCCTTACTTTTTATCCACCCTAGAGTTTTGAACAGTGTTCCCTGACCATGAACCCAGCGTAGTATTACAGTAACTCACAGATATGTGGGATGAGATGGAGTGGAGGCGGAAGAAGAAGCGCACATACATCTCCCGGAACACTTGATACAGTCTTGCGGGCTCACGATACAGAAAACATAAAGGGGCAACTGAAAACATAGAAGTTAGAAATACATAAACATAGCAGAATAGCTCAGTCCTCGTACAACATTTATTCAGGAAAGACACACTTTGCCTACCCCTATATGACCAAATGTATGTGGACACCCATCCAAACTATTTCATTTGGTTGGAAAAAGCCTGGTCCATAAAGACATGGCTTGACGAGTTGGTGTAGAGGAACTCGAGTGGCCTGCACAGAGACCTAAACATCTTTGGGATGAACTCATAACTCTGATTGCAAGCCAGGTCAGAACTTGACCTCACATATTTTATCTGAATGGACACAAATTCCCCAAATCACACTCCCAAATCTCGTGGAAAGTTTTCCTAGAAAAGTGGAGGTAGTTAAAGTAGCAAATGGGGGGACTCCCTATTAATTGCCCACGGTTCTGCAATAGGCTGTCATACAACAAGCTCATATAGGTGGATCAGGTGTCCACAACATTTTGACCCCCCCCCAAAGAGCTTTAATTTGTTGCTAGAAAAACTAATACAAACTTAAACTGTTTATAGACACATTTATGGTTAAAAAACTGATTAGGGTTAACTACAAATTGTATTCTGTGATGTTCCCTTAGCTCTTACCTCTTACCACTAACACACCTCCCTTTGCATATGTTACTGAGTAAAGGAAATAGCCTAACTCAGTCTGCTAACAGCTGCAAATGCATCAACACCGACACTTCAGTGGACCTTCAGCTATTTCTTGAAGTAGGATTATCATACCTTGGACATCAGCAGGGCCCTAGGAAGCAGCCAAGGTTACCCTGTGAGTGGTCTGACTTTGCATTAGTGAGAAGTGGCGCAGACCCCCTTACTTCTTTTCTTGTGCCTTTTAAACCTATATGGTTTGTCAGTAAGAGGCAGTCGACAAGTGAAAAGGCAGACATTTTAACTGCAAAGTAGCATGAAAGAATCCTATAATAAATGTTTACTTTCCAAATAAATATTTTATACAAATATTGTAAATAATGTAAAAGATCAGTTTATAAACATTCAGAATTAAAACAATTATTAGATTTTCCCTTTAAAGGAGAAATCCAGTTGGATTCTGAGCTGTACGGGCACACTGGCTATTTGGTACATGGTGGACAATCTTCATGCCCATGTTTAAGGTAGTGCCATAGTCAATTAGATGATTATAACCCAGCAGGTATTCATCAACAAAGGATTGCCACTAAATCGTTGGTACCTCATACAAGCAGAGAATGTCAGAAATTGTTGCAATCATACATATTGTACTAACATTTCTGACATCCAAAGGTAATTATTAGCTCATTACAAGCTCAGTTCTGTTCTATGTTTCATCTATGTAGTGACAAGTCATAACAAAAACTTTGTTACGTCTGTGACACTTCTGCTTGCTTCAAGCCAGTTTTAGTGAACTCAGTGGAATGTGCATAAACTCCAAACTTAGTGCTGAACCCCATTGAAGTCTATAGCAGACCAATCATTTTTTCCTGGTCATTTTCAAGGCTAATAGGCAAGCTATTGTTATAAAAAGGCAGGGGGGACTGCCATGTACAGCTGGCAGAAAAGCGCAGGTGGGTACTGCCATGGGGACATGTACCAATGCCAAAATAAAAAATCACCAAACAGTGAAGATGGGATCATTTATGTGGCTTGAAGGACAATATTGAAAATACACAAATACTTTAAATGACATGTTTGGGGATTCCAAAAGCTGCACATGATGTTACAGAGCAGTACAGTAGGGATGTCTCGATACCATTTTTTTAAAGACCAAGTACAAGTACTTTCCCTCAGGTACTTGCCGATACCAATTACCGATACTTTTTCTTAAAGGATATTTAAACCCTCCCTTTTTTTGTATATATCTACTGCTAGCAAGCAGTAGATATATGCAAAACGTTTTTTTTTTTTTAAACCCGCTCAAACAGCAGTTTGAGCGGTCCCGTGCGAAAATTATACATTTTTCGAGCGGCCGCAAAGGATCTTTGGGCGGACGCATGCGCAGATCTCATTTTCGGGCGGGACACGACAAGGGACGCAAGGTAAGTCTATGGACGCGTGCACCCGCATGCAGACACCGCTGGCCTGATCGGAGAGCTGCCGCACCGCTGGAGAGAATGCTGAAAACATCAGGAAAGAAGAGGAAGATCGGAAAAAGAGACATAATTTAAGGTAAGTGCTAACATTAACATGGGGGGGAGGGGAATTTTTTTTGCCTTTAATGTCACTTTAAAGGGACATGTGACATTCTTTCTAAAACAACACAGACTGATGATTTTAGGGCAGTTTCTCACCATAGCTAAATACAGATGTCTCCAGAGCTAAATACAGATGTCCCTGGAGCTGAATACAGATGTCCCTGGAGCTGAATACAGATGTCCACAGAGCAGAATACATGTCAGCAGAGCAGAATACATGTCAGCAGAGCACAATACATGTCGGCAGAGCACAATACATGTCGGCAGAGCACAATACATGTTGGCAGAGGTCAAAACATGTCCCCAGAGCACAATACATCCCACCAGAGCACAATACATCTCAACAAAGCAGAAGGCTGTGGTCTGACCCAGGCAGCATGTGGATCTCTGCAGGGCTCTGTAGGCAGTTCTTATGCTGTGGAGTGTGCCGGTGTCCAGGGCTTTCCATGGCTGTGCCTGCGCCGGGAAGGAGGAGCAGGAGATTCAGAACCGGACAGGCGCTGCCAGGGACAGCTACTGCTAGGTCCCTAGCAGGCTGCCGAGGTCCCCACAAGTGCGGGAACTCAGCAGCCACTGCGGTTTAAAAATTTAAAAGGCCGCTATCTGCCTTAAGAATCGGGGCATTTTTAAGAGTACAAGTACTCGTCAAAATGCCTGGTATTGGCCCCGATACCAGGGACATCCCTACAGCACAGTGTGGTCCTTTAAAAGTGACAGTACACATCTAAAAGAAAAAAAGGGAACAAACGTCATTTCCCTCTCAAATTCCACCCAGATTCTTATCCAGCCTGGCTGGCCTGAAAAGAGAGGGCAGCAAGCATGCGCCTTCCACCCCCTTTTACTGTAGCAGACCTGTACCCTTCATCATCAGGGGAGTACCTTTCAAGGGGATGCCTTGTCCATAAGTTTGTTGGACAAGGTCTCTTCCCCACATCCAATGTCCCAAGAAAGATATTGGGGTAATATGGGGTTAATATTGGGGTGGGGGTAATACAGGGATGGGGGGGGGGGGCTTTTAGTGAAATCTGGAAGCCCCCTTTATAATAAAGAGGTACCCAGAATCTGCCCTCTCTCACAGTAATGGGTACATGGGTACATTAGAACCTTTTACCCATTCCCACAAAGAGTTCAATGTAAATAAATACACTAACACCATTAAAAACTCCTTTAATAACAATACAAAAATAATAAAATAAAAAGAAATGTTACTAATGTCCCCCTTGTAAATCTACATCAGCACAATGTCCAGCAATGTAATCCATGTCAATCACTGCATCCAGTGATGCAAATCCATCAGCAATCACGATGACCCCAAGCCCAACAGATGCCCAGCGCTGCAGTAATGTAAACATGCTGGGGATCACGGGTGACATTATTGACCCAATACAATCAATAACCAAATATTTGTCAATTTTGGGTCAATTACAGCATCCAGCAATGCGGGTGTGTGAACAACCGCATTAGTTCGGCTGTGAACAGCAAACATCTGGTTCGCCTCTAATCCACGTTCGACCTGAGCCAGAGTCTCATCCCCAGTTGTTAAAGGTCTAGTGTAACCTTTTTTATAAAAAAACTCCCAGCTACACTTATGTCATACAATGACAGGGAAGACAACGGGTTTCTACTTAATTATATATCCCTTTTTTTTTTACTAGGCTGTAATGTATAGACATAGATAGTAACTGTGTTGAGATAATTGACACCCAGGAGCTGCACAGGATGAATGTTCAGTCTTACATAAACAGCCATGGTCCCAATGCTTTATGTAAGCTCTGTCTGAACAGGAAAGAACAATAATTACAATTCCATACTGGCTCTGTCATGAAAATGTCACATTTACCTGCTGCAACTTCCTTCTGTAAAAATCTGCTTGCTGTGTTTATAACCCCTTATGTCATCTGCAGCTTCTCTTCTCATGTATTGACATTTAAAGTAGAAGAGAAGGCATCACAATAACTCACCTGTGAATGTTTGCGCTAATCCTTTCTGTATACATTTTATAATAAATTGCTTTCTGAATACTTGTTTTTAAGGTTTTCTACGTGGTCACATGGCCGCAAAGCTCTGGCTAGTCTCGGTACTATTGAGCCTTGTCAACACTTCGGGATATCAGACAGCGGTGACATCATACCGCCGGCATCATAGCTCCCAGAATTGTCAAGAATTCCTGCCCACCAGCCACAGAGAGCAAGACGAATAAGCTGGAGTGCTGGAGCTTGACGGTCATGTGACTGCAAAAAAATTTAGAAGTTGATTTATTACAAAATGTATACAGGAAGGATCAGAGCATTTCATAGGCAAGTGAACACCTTTACCAAGATTAAGCATCTGGCTCCTTTGTGAGATCTTTGATGCCATTTCCAGCAAAATGCACTTTCTATCGGGATGTATGGTAACACCAAACTTTCTCCATGCACACGAGAACAAAGTAAACATGTTGTGTGTCAGTAATAGCTCTGTTTATGCGCTCATAAACTAGACTAGTTATACGCTCATAAACTAGAAGAAGCAATTTTATTAATATTAAATATAAAAAAAAAAACACAGTACTGTGTTGGCAGTACATTCTAGCACACAAAACATTAAAGTAGACCTGAATGCAGAAAAAGTGAAGATTTGCTATGTTTTAGGAAACATGTAGGAATGTTCACTGTCTCTAAACAGTACCCTGAAGATTTACCTTTTATCTGGATTTTCTCCTGAAAAAAATAGCACTGCAGCCTGTATATCTGCAGTATGAGAAGCACTCTCCCTACACTGCTAGCATCACACAATTTGAAATGGTGATTTGGTGACGTCATTACTGTACTATCACTGCTGGAGAGAAAACTGTACCTAGGACCCTGTAGACATGCATCTCCCTGCTTTTACTTCTTTCATTCTGCAGATCTATGCTTTCTCTACCTCAATTTCTGCTTCTTGATTATTCCTCCTCTAGGGATGTTGAGCTTTCCAGTCCCTACTGTCTGCAAGTGTTTATATTTTGTTTGGTCTTTCTCCTGTATCTGCATTTACCTGCCAGTCACTCCCTGTCTTTTCAGCTAGCCACCCCAGTGGGTTGCCAGACTTTGGAGAAATAGGTAAGCGTGGTTCTAGAAGGTTCCTTTAGCTTTCTCTCTTTTGGGGAGAAAGGTCTTTGGTTAACCCTACCTCCTTGGGAGTGGGTGCCTTAGATCTCTTACCCTGCTGGAAAATGGGTGGTTGTGTAAGAAGCAGTGTGCCTGTTTTAAGGGCTTTGGGGCTGGAGCCCGGGCCTAAAGGGTGTCACTTGTCTGTGAGAAGGCTTGGAGGTAAATCAGTAATGGAAAAAAAAAACATCAGACACAGGGAGACTACAGAAAATACTGGTGACTAGTCCTTTGCCTTTTTTTGGAGCATGGCTTTTATAGTTCAGGTCCTCTTTAATGAAATCAAAGCATAATATATTTATTAAAATACTGCCTGCCTCATAAAATCTGCAACCAGGACAGGGAGGTTGGGTAATGTAACTTTCTAATGTTCATTACTGCTCAACTTTTATTCATTTGACTACACCCCTCATTCACCTGGTGGGATAAGGTATGCCGTCAGGTCCCCTCCTCTCTCGTGCAACTGTCAGGCTCTAGATCCATGATCGAGTGCCCGACTTTTCATAGTAGGTGACACTAAAATGCCTGTTAGTCATTTTGGTGTCACTCCCTCCATTGGTGTCACCTGGTGCGGAACGCACCCCCCTTGTGACGCCACTGGTTCTGTGTATGGCCACACCACAATAAGTGTACTGATTTACTGCAGTCATGTCTTGTTAAAGCTTATGTTAGTTCACGTCTCACTTACCATACATTGAAAAGCCATGAAACGGAATCACCCCTATGAAACATGAGATATACGATGTATTAATACTCCAACATATAAAACACTTGGCATTCTACACAAGATCATATCAAAGGTCATTCAATGCGTATCAAATGTCCAAAGTGAAAAGAAGGTGCTGCTTTACACCACCTTGCAAAACCTTTTTTAAACAGCTGTCAAGGTTGAATTATAACCAGAGAAAAAAAAAACCCAGTTACCAATAGCATATTAGTTCCTATCTTTCCAAGTGCATCTCAAACAACAAAACCAAGTGACATTTAATTTAATCCTTAAGCCGAAGATCAACCAAACCTCAACCCTATAGGAAGCTGGGAGGTTAGTGACCCTTCCATAGACCAGGATGCTGCACTTTTTTGCCGGCTTGTAAGACCATGCCTATAGCAGTTATCACATACACAAGAATAAAAGTCATCATCACCAGCGTTATAGTGTGATAATAATTTCAAAGTGGGCCCTGATGATAAAAATGATATGCTATTGATTTGCTACTTCAAATGATGGAGTTTACAAATCATAAAACTCCACCAGAGAAAAAACCCTCTTCCAAAACGTGCCTTGATAAGAAATAAGAGTGCAGCTTTTGTTCATTTTCTCATTTATAGGAGTATGGGATTCTTGAACAATCTCCCTCTCAATGTGTTTATCCTGCACATCCAGTTCTCACATCAAAAACTGCTGAATGAAATGGTAACAAACCAAATACTACCAAATAATACGTGTTTCATAGCATTGTTTGTAAGCTGTAGGACATGTCTTCAGAATACAGACAGTAAATAAAGTCAGTGACATTTTTAAGCATAAACACCAGGCAAACAGCTCTGTAGAGAGAACGCTTTCTTTTTAGTAGTAGTTGTATGGCATCAGAGTGAGATTCTTTGCCAGTGTTCCAGGTGCTCTCCATTAGCACCCCACAACAGCAGCAGATGGGTACCACATGTTTCAGGGACACACTCTGTGAACCCCACCCAAAATACTTCCTCGCTCTCTGGACAGGACATCACTGGGCTACGATCTTTTCACCACTCCACTAGTGCCCATGCAGGTAGGAGAGAAAATGACATTCTATCTTGCTTGCTCCCTGAGGTCTTCATGGAGGGCTGACAACTACTCCAATCTGGAGGCCACCAGATCTGTTTAAACTCGACCATAGGATCTTTTCTCCTTGCTGCCTCCTCTCAGACCTCAACTGACTCTGCACTCTCAATCTCCTTATTAAGCCTGTCCACTTGCAGTTATCTACATTACCTTCAGAGAGGTCATCTTTATGGTTTACCATCTCTTCAATGGCAGAAGCAACAGGAGCACACACTCTACAAAAGGTCAGAACCTCTCCCTCCTTGACTCTGTAGATGAGGAACACTTGAAAACCTCCAGGGCAGCCCGGCCATGGGTGCCATAATCCCTGGTATAGAGAACCCTGGACACTGTCTACAGAGCGACTTTACATCTGCAGTGTTCCCTGAGAGACATCTGATACCCGGGTCCCCGTTACATTATACCACACCACATCATGCAGGCTGGCATGCTCTCTCTTTATTAGGGAACACCCAACAATAACTGAGAGAATAGGCCACACAAGGAACAACATCCCCTTTAAGATCCCCTAACATATGTTCATCGTTTTCCCTACCTAACAATTTGTAATTTTGTACAGCCAGTCTTGTGATTTACACATATTTTAAACACTGCACAGCCAGACAAGTTACACATAAGCAATTCATCTTCCTGATTTAGCAATGATTTTGATGTCACCTCTCTTCTCCCTCATTAGACACCAAATCTGTATCATCCTCAGGGTGAGCAGGGTGACCATCCTGACTGACATCAGGTTTGTGTATCACAAGAATGGCTGGCCAAAATTACAGATTACACTGATCCTATCAGCCATTGTTATATGTGTAACTTCATTATCTACCACTAGAGGATGACAAAGCACAGCTTACCATTTGGTGGATAGACAACAGCAAACTCTTCCAAGCCAAGTTTGCCTACAATTAAAAGAGTGAAAGTTACATTTTCCAGATGCTGAAGCAATATAGTTAGAGTAATAATCTTACCGGCAATTTGATTAGTCATACTTAATAAAAACAGGCCCAAGAAATAGTAAAGATGACAGCCATTAGTCAGGTGTTACTATGAAAAGCTTCAACCATTCTATACATAAACAGAAGTGAAATGTTTATTGGCTTCTGTCTTTTACATAGAATGGCTCACATAAATTATTGTATTAAAAGTAATGACTATAATATATTGATATGATTCTCAAGTCACTACATGCCAGACAGGATACAGTTCAGTATATACACCACATGATTGCATATTAAGGTCATTGTAATGATAACCATGATTAATTAAAGCAGTACACACATATTAAGATAGTTTAGTTATGAGAAAATCACAACAGCCTCAAGTAATTAATTTATTTCAAAGACATGAGCATTCACTGATACAGATAATACATTCAAGGAACAGCAAATAAAAACTGCACAGTGGTTTACGTAAAAGAGCATTAAATGCCATTCATATTATGTAAAAGTTTCAAAAACTTTTAAGAACCTGCAAGTTCATCTCTCTAATAGTGTCCGCTCTTTATATTTTCAGTTATATGTAAGTTTCTGTCTTTAAGCCCCCGACATTGAACAAAATGCAAGCTGGAATCACCCTAAATCAAATTCAACTGCAGATAATATGACAGAGCAACATTTGAAGCTCCCCTGACTCTTGCACTCTAATGTACCCGCACCACAAAAAAACTGGTGCTTCTTGATATAGCGGAGCAAGTGACCTCCTCCCTTTATCCAATGCTCAGACCTGAGCAGCTAATCACATGACAGGAGTGATATTATCAACCTTGCATAAGCACCAACAGGGTATTTTTCAGCACCTGCAATGGAGGAAGAAGAATTGGGGGAACACTGCATAGGTCATCTGGGAACTCTCTTATAGATCTATATTCAGAGGGCACCACCTGGAAGAGCGTGTTTATATAAACCACCCCAACTTGGACAACAATCAAAATCATACTTTTCAAGTGAGTGCATCTAAGGGACCAATGCAAACCCACCTTTCCATTCAAGCTGTTGGTAATATTAAAACCAGACAGGGCGCCTACTCTAGTGTAAAATCGCTTTATTGCAAAACAAATGGAAATGGTCATCAGTTATACTCACAAAAGAGGTGTTCAAAAATCCTTTATCAGTTGTATCACAACAACCGCCATATTCCAGGGGTTAAACAATCATAGGCGACATTGAAAGACACATACCAACATGCCTCTCAAACCTCGCTGCTGGGTATGATCGTTTAATCCCTTGAATACGGCGGTTGTTGTGATATAGCCGATCAAGGCTTTTTGTACTGACAATTTCCATTTGTTTTGCAATAAAGCAATTTTATACTAGGGTAGGCGCCCCGTCTGGTTTTTGTTGTTTTTTAGGTCAATACAGTCTCCCTGATTGTTAACGAGGCTGCCTCCAATAGTGGTGCATACACAAAGGGCTGTTATCCAGGTTTTATGGCGCTCATGTGGAATGGTTTTGACTAGGGATGCACCGATACTAGTATCGGTGCCGATACGGAGTATTTGGGCGAGTACTCCGAATGCTCCGATACTTACCCCCGATACCGGAACTTCCGGTCAGAGGAAGATTTTCTCTGACCGGCAGTGCCATAGGGAAACATGGAGCCAGCTTCCCGTGCGATCGGGAAGCTGGACTGCGAGTAATGACCTGTCTCACATCTTCCTGATTGGCCAGGAAGCCGACTCCATGCTGATTGGCTGGCTCCCTCCATGCGGAAGCCGGCTTCCTGGCCAATCAGCATTGAGCCGGCCAAACAGCTGGTTCCTTGCTGATTGGCTGGGAAACTGGCTTCTCAGCCAATCAGCAAAGTATTGGTACTCAATACCGCAAAAAACGGTATCGGTGCATCCATAGTTTTGACTTTGGTGCTAGTAATATTAGTAAAACACAGAAGAGGTCTACAATTACTTTCCCTTAAGTTATGAAAACAGGCAAATAAAAAGACCTGCAGTACTGCACCTCGAATGTATGATTTTGGTGGTGTTGCACTGTTGTATATAAAGTGTTCAAGCACAGAGGTGTCCCTGGAGAAGCAGAGCAACACCTGTAAAAATAAAAGGGTAACAGTTAAAATTGACATTGAAAGCCTTACTCATTTTTACATTCTAATAAACATGTAAGAAGCACAAATCTAGAATCATCCATCTATGGATCCCATTGATAATAAAATACGTTATTAAGCATCACTAAAATAGCCACAAATGAATCCCACTGTAGAAGAAACATATTTGGAACACAAAGCAGACAAAGCTGTGCAGGATAAATAGCCATGAGGCTGGAAAACCTTTATTTCTGTATCATGCTGAATAACGTCTGCTAGGTAGAACTTTATGTTATGCTGCTTCATAGATCCATTGCCATCCTGTATAGCTGTATAATGTATTTCTGGGATTTGTAGTCCTCTACAGCTGTTGCTATACTGCATTGCTGTAGAATGTATTAGTGGGGTTTGTAGTCCTCTATAGCTGTTGCCATTCTGCATAATGTATTGCTAAGATTTGTAGTCCTCTATAGCTGATGATATTATTCTGCATTGCTGTATAATGTATTGCTGAGATTTATAGTCCTCTGTCACCCATCATACAGGTCCACAATGTAACCCTATGTTCACAGAGTCCAAGACAAAAGCAAAGTGTACCAATTGTTGCAAAAGTGGGGACGTGTTTTGTCACAAATTGTTTTGGGGCTGGTAAGGACCTATTTCTGAGGCAGCATTCTGGTGATACTATGCTTTTTTGTCTTCTACTATGGAGAACACCCAGGGGAGGACTAGGCGGCAAGAAGGCATTTGCCCCCTGGGAAATAATAATAAGATATTTGGGTTGGTAGCCCTGAGTGGAAATAATTCACCATGAATGACAACCAAAATTCCTTCTGGTCAGACCTGCAATTACAGGATCTGGCAGAGGGAAGTCTTCCAGGACATACTTTTTAGCTATTCTGAGATGTCATGTGACCAAATGACAAGAACTGCAAAGGAAGCTATTGCTGAAATATGAGAAAAGGTGCCTGTGTTACAACAACCCATATTCTTTTGGAACACCTACCTTTCACCATGCCCACCAACCAATAACCGTGGCACCATGGCACACCCCAAAAAAATCCATCTCTACTATGAAAGGGCAAATTATTAATGTAATTGTCCCCCAGTCCTCCCCTGAGTACATCACTGGTGAATAGAATGGTTTGAGCAACACGTTCCAGCACTGGCAAATCAGGGGCACATCTGCCCATCAATGGGTACCCTAAATCTGTAGCACATTCATCAGGCAGTAGCCATTTCTGAGTGTCCCTTTAATCAGATCAGTCATTGCCAAGAACATTTAAAAAAACATTATGAAGTCATTAGAGAGATGAGCTCCTAGCTCACAGGTATTTACTGACACACTGATAAATTAGTCTTGGGCCATACTGGAATTGCACTATTTGACCTCAAGCTTAGTGTCATTTCTTCTGCAGTAATTAAAGTGCAGGCTTTGGAATAAAGTCAATTGAAGTACATTTTCCATAGCTTTGGTCTATAAAAAGAAACAGACTCTTGACTTGTTGCTTCGGAGCAATTATTTACATTAAACAAACGGTAAACAAAAGAGAAATTCTGAGATTAAGCAGCAAGTTCCGGGATTTCATTTTGTGATATATACTGACGACTAAACGTTCATTTTTCTTTCTTTAGTCATATACTGCATTGTACAATAACATTCAAACACAATTGGGGTAAACTCAGTGCAATCCAATTACTTTGAATCTGATCCTATTTAATCAGACAAAAAAGAAAACTTCAAAATTGTAGTATTGCTCTGAGCAAAATGACATTAGCTGTGTGCATTGTTATTTTGCTTGAAAACATTAAACCACAAATAATCAGTGGTTATTGTGAACACGGGATAGATTGTCAAAGGACCAGTGAACCTAAATGAGATCATTTCCATACACCGGTTTATGTGAAAGAGCTTCTATTACCATTCACTAGAAACACGTAAAAGGAATATAGCATGCTGGGGAGCAATATTTGCACAGAGAAAACTTTCTGTCCAGTAATCCCATAAAAGAGAACTACCAAATTGTATTCCCTCGTCTTATGCCTAATGTGGAAGCTGACATCATGTAGTACTGGGTAAAATCAAAGCTAGACCACAGACAGATATAAAAGACACAAAGTAATGCCATTAGGTATTCAGTAATAAATCAATAAAATGTATTTTTAAATGCAACTAGTGTAAGTATATGGATTTGACTTGGTATCAGCCTCTGAAAATCAGCAGCAGGACTGGAAGTCAAATAGGTATGCTGCATGCAGATATGCCAACAAGAAAAATGCTCATAGGAGGAGTAAGCAGAGTGAGCAGACAGGTGACCTCATTAGTCTCCTGCTGCCCATTCATTGTCCAGTCATCAGGCTGCTGTGAATTGAAGACACTATCCTTTCTATGTCCTTTAACTAAAAGTGGAATCATCTGCCTGGCTGTGATGTTTTACGGTGCTGTGCAAATCACATAATACAAATACAAATACTTTGGCAGGTAATAGAGCTCCCTTGTATTGCATCTGTGTATGTAGAAGTTTGCTTGGAGTTCAGCTTTAAATATACATTAACAGTCACAAGAGGCAACTGATGAGAGGCAATTTGACGTATTCTGTTCCTTGAAATGCTACATACTTAAACTGCCACAAAGTAGTCCTGTATGTTGACACTGATACATTTGGTGAAGCATATTACCATAGCAAATGACAGCTGTAGTTGGTCTTGATGTTGGGGGTGATGTTTTCCCCACAGTGACAATAAACAGGCGGTATTGCTGGTGGCTGAGGGTTTAAAGTGCACATTATGCAGGGCTTCTTCCTGATTAAAGTGTCTGCATACATCTCATAGAAAAATAAAGATTAAGAGACGGTGATAAATCATCTAGTCAATGGCAATTTTATTTTATGGATCACTATCCCTGTGAGAGACATATAGATTTTCTTCACCTCCATTTTACTATACAGGAATAACATATGCCCAGGAACACGTCTGCGTCTAACTAATGGGTTCTGTTCATCCAAGTAGCAAAAACTGGAGAGTGCAATGGAAAGAACAGGGCAGCTCTGGAAATCAATCTTTATATTTTAAATTAAAAACCATATATGGTATGTTAAGGATAATATGTACAAAATGCCAAATGTGCATAATTAAAGGAGAACTATCAGGTGAGTGATATACACTCATCCTCATAGTTAGAGCCGACGTGTGACATTGAAACTGTCACAGGTCGGCTCTATTGATCGGGAAGTCAACGAACACATACCGTCGCTCACTCATTTCGCGATCATCTCCCTGCAGAGAGCAGTGACTGTCAGTCACCGCTCTTCGCAGGGATCCCCCCTTCCCCTCTCCTATCCTCCAGCACTGACTGGAGGAACAGATGGAGGAGGGGGCGGGCACAGCTTGTTTTACCTCTAGATTGACAGCAGGCTCTGCCTATCAGTCAGCTGGGTGGATCTTGACAGTATTCTCGGGATCCTTCCCGGCTGCGGCGCTCTCAGTATATAGCTCGCTATATACTGAGCTTTGGGTCACGGGAGGAGGTTAGTATATGTCCTCCCGTGACCCTAAAGAGAACTATGGGATAAAAAGGTTACACCATAGTTCTCTTTTAATGGCAGACATGGACTACAAATGTTCTGTGTCCAGTACTACTGTCATACAGTACCATCTGTTCCCACTGTGTTACCCTACATTGCCATGCAGCCAGGCACTCTAGCCTGCTATGGCTCCATGCCCTATCCAGCTATCCATTAGGTAGATAGGTATACAGTAAATAAAGTAACAAGAAAGTCTGAAGAAATTTAAAGCTGTTGCCCATAGAAACCAGATTACATTTCTAATTTTCCTAGCCAACAAATTACAAATCCCACTTGATGGCTATGATGTGTTCTATGTTCTAACAGATCTCTTTGCTCCAGTTTTTGAAAATAAGCCATATATAGCATCTGATATACCACTCTGTGCTCACTAATGTTATGAGTCCTGTCTACCTCACATCCAGTACTTAATAAAAGTACTCTATGTCAGCTGGCTGCCTACTGAAGTAACATAATTGGTCTCAGCAGAGCTGGATTAACCATTAAGCAACATAAGCACATACTTAGTGCACCATGGGATCCTTTTTGCCCAATTTGTCCTGAGCTAACCATTTATAGCCTCCCCTTCCACAGATGTATACTTACTGAGATCCGACTGCAGCGGCCTTCGTTTGTTTACATCCCACACCACAAATCCTCTCTCTCCCAGCTGTACAAGCAATTACAGCTTCATGCACTACTATAGGGCTCGTCCCCCTTCAATTCCCAACCAGGTGACAAAGGTAGATGAGCCCCATAGACTTCTTAATTATCATTTATCAAAGAAGTGATTTCCCTCATCTATTCTGAATATGGCCTCAGTCAATTGCTTAATTATGATCCACTCCCAATCTGCTAAATAAAATTAAAAAACGTTTTTATTTAATATAGTTGAGGGATCTGGCCTGGGGCTGACCTGAAAGAAAAAATGAAAGAAGGTTTACAAACTGTCAAACTTTTATTTCACTTTCAGCATTTTTTGAATCTTATCCCCTTGCCGCCTGCCCATAGTAAAAATACGGGTGGGCGGCGAATGCTTTCTGGTGGGTGGACGTACATTTACGTGATTTTTTTCTGCTGTGTGTACAGTCGTTACCAGCTGTTATATACAAGCTTCCGGCTGGTTCTATAGCCAGCCGAACGCTTGTATACTCACGCACAGCGCTGCCTTATCCTGGGCACCGCAGTCCCCCCTGCGGTGCCTAGGACCGAGAATACCGGCACAGCGGCTCTCTGTACAGGGAAGGAGGAGATATCAGCATTCCCCACAGCTGATCTCTCTTCCTTCTCTCTCTAAAGGCAGAAGCGGTGTCTATTACATCACTTCCGCTGTTAGCTGTCATTTCTCTGGCTGCTAGCCAGACAAGAAGCTGGTGAAGCAGATCTCTGCTTCATCAGCTTCTTTTGGGGTCCCCAGGTGACATTAGGGGTCTTAGAGAC